TATGCTGACGCTGTTTCCAAGGCAATCTCCTTCGATTCTGGTGAAAAGCTGCTAAGCTTTCGTCCGTCATATGACGTACATCATCAGAGTGAGGTAACATCGTCACAACAAAATTCAAGCTAACGAGTCAAGAAAACTCCTTCTTTTGTGACGATGTTACCCCGATCTGATGATCTCCGTCATATGACGGACGAAAGCTTAGCACCTTTTCACCGGAATCGAAGGAGATTGCCTCAGAAACAGCGTCAGCATGAATCTTCCAGTAAAGCCAATCGACAGTTGATCAAGAGGAATCCGCCATCGTCTTCTGGTGGAACCGAACTTCTAATTTCTTTACCCAACACTTTCATTTGAAATGGAAGTAAGCTCAACATCTGAAGAATAAATGTTTTAAGATAAATCTACCTTGGCGAGGATAAAGAGTTTCATGGGTTGATCTCAGAGAAAACCGACATAAAGAAGGCGTTGGTGAGGCCTAGATGGAGTCGAAACTGTAGTCCAGCCTGGATAATAATATCTTCAGATAAGCAAGGCCAAGTAGAATTCAATAATATTGTGATATCTTCTTATCTCATTGTGGTAAAGACCCAACTATCAGCACTGAAATCCCCTTAGGCCATCTAGGGTGACTAAATTATTATTCAAGAATTAATGATGGTATCGAAACCTACTCCTGTCGAAAATAGTCAACGTCGTCGATTGCAATGGCACATTTATATTTGATTAATCGATAATTACACTACAAAACGCGATATGGTAAAAGCCTGGCATGCCATTAATCTCACATCTGCCCTTTGACTAACTGGCATCCGTGGAAGTGTATTGGAGTGGTTGGCGTCGTCAGGATACCCATGATTCGATTCCGACGATACCCTGGCGAGATCAAATCTGCAGTCCAGCTTGGATGAGATATACTACCAGAAGGCAAGGCTGAATGGAATGTAATGGCATCGTGAGGGCTACTTCACATAGATTGCGGGAAAAATTCAACAATCATTCAATAAATCACGTTAAGCGGCCTAGACTGTCTAGATGCTTATAATGGAACCTATCGGAATGTGCACAACTGCCAACAACTAGGTACCAATATCATGATAATCCCCTAGCTTGGAGTATGCAACTCAGAAGGTGCCTCACATTTTGGTGTTTTCCGGGTCCTTCTGTTCGACGACGTCAAAAGGGCTAACTGTATTAGGTTTGTTGGGTACTTTAGTGTTCATGAGATTATCAGCCTCCGGGCGTGTAGCGCCAAAACTAAATGCTCTTGCTATAGTTTTCATATGGTTTGCTCTTGAGCCGGCCGATCGACAAGACTTGGGCCTTTCTGTGGTGGTTTTTATCAGCCCTTGGCCAGCCTCCCTCGGCCTCGGAGGCAAGACTGCTGGCGGTAAAATAGCATTGCTCTGTCGCATGGTCAGTCGGCTCGAGAACAGATCGGCCAACCGACGAGTGGAACAATTTTGCCGTAGCTGGCTAAAACGACGCGTGAATCGAGAGCTCGTCTTGCCAACAGAGACTAAAGATTGTCCCGATCTACTTGGACTTCCAGGCGCATTGATGACGGTTTCTTCTGCCTCCATGTTACAGTCTCCCTCAGCATCACTGCGATCACGCGTCTCATCGATGACAACAGCATTACCGTTGCTTATATCGACTTCAATGACATCAGTGACGTTCTGTATGGCGGCCATGATGATGGGTGAAGTGGATGAAGGAGTGGGACTGATAACGTCAGTCACTGTGGTGATAGTAGTCATCGTGGAAACGGCTGTTGGTTGGAAGGCAAGATGCTCGTCAGGGAAGCCAACTACAAGATTGGCATCAATTTTAGAAAGTTCTTTTGGTGTAGTCGCCTTTAAAGAATTAGACGGAGTCACTTGACCCGACACACCAAATTCAGAAGCTCTGTCATCCAGGCCGGAAGGCCTTAAACTTGGCGCCAATGTGAGTGAGATCATGCAGTCTGGAATAATATTAAGAAAAGCGAGAGAAAATTTTATTCAGGCAGGACCAATATTTTCTCCAACTGGCGCAAATATCGTTAGTACTACGAGAGGATTTTAGCTGGGTATGAGTATTAGGCTCAGAGACATAGAAACATCCTCAGTAACAAGAATTTTGTAAGTCTAACTCCCTTAAGGAGATATAGGGACTGATTTTTGGGTTTTCCTGCAATAAGATGAGTAAGCCCCACGATTCCATTGAATCTCGCTCAGCTTTTCCCCATAAAAGGCTATCTTATCCAGGGTGGGCTGCAGTTTCGACTTCGCATAGGTGAAGTATAATCCAAAAGCGTCGAAAGCCTACTCATCTATCTCACAGAAAACTCAATTATTAGTCCTCAAAACAGTTACATCGTCTTAAAGTTATTCAGCTCACTGACGATGCCGATTATGATGTCAGCGAAACGTCTGGGAATGTACCACGTCCACAGTCAGACTTTGTAAATGATCCTGCATACAATGGACTCTAAACTAGGTGCGTTCCTCTAAGTCTTCCTACCAATATGACCATGCTGCGAAAACAAGGTCAAACAACTTCTATACAACGAAAGGAGACTGCGACCACACAAAAGGCCACATCATCTTGGTCTTCATATCTTCTATTAAGCCACAAAAACTAATTATATAGAAAATAAGTAACGCCATCGGTTCTAATGGCAAACACATGATTGAGATTATTCATTTTTAAGCAGGTTTTCGAAGTGGATAACGTGTTGAGATTATACATTTTTTGAGTTCTAGTGGGGTGCTGATGAGATATAGGCGAGATTAAAACTGCAGTCGACTCCTTTCTAGAAGAGAATACTTTTTGGTAGGCAAGTCCATGTTAAATGTAATGCAAATATAAGGTCTACTCATATAATTATGGTAAAAGTTCAACTATCAGTTTCATTAAAACCTTAAACCAAAAAGGGTGAATATACTTCATATTTACATGCTTGAAATGTTTACAATCTATTTTGTCTAAGGTGATT